AATCTTTTTCATCATCCAACTTTGATTCCTCTTCCTTGGTTAGTTCGACTAGAATTCCATTGCAATATCGTATAATCACGCCTTTAATCCAACATTTAGTCGCGAGGATACATGCCTCTGCTTTTTTGGAATTAGTATAACGCAATGTTTCCCCTAGCTTAACCCAGCATCTGGGTGGTACATGTTTAGGTATCGTTTTAAATGCCTAATATTTTGAGAAATTACAAGCTAAATCAATTAATTATTATATTTCTTCATTACTAATACTTACTCAAAAAAGGCTTTAGCCTGTTTAGATGGTTTTTTTGCGTTTAGATTGAGTTCAGATAGTTTCTCTTGGAAGACCTTTGACTATATTTTGAATAAATTAATAACTAAATGCGTTCAATCATTAAAACTTTGGTACACATTATTAAAGATGCTTACTTTGAAAGCATTTGAGCAGCAGCATCACTTTTATCTGGATTAGCAATAATGAATCTGAGCGTTTGAAAGATTGTGTGATACGCGTCTTTTGAGGATTCATTGTTCGGATCAATAGGTTTATATTGAGAGTCCATTTTATGTTTTTAAACCTATATATATATTGAACAGCAAATGCAAAACGTAATTTTTCAGATTTGTGTGGAAATTTTGCAGAAAGACGTGTAATTATTGGCTATATACCATAACTAACAAAGATCTGTACATCGAACGATCGTGCTGTAGTCGACCATCTTTACTAATAATAAAATAAATGAAAATTTCGTTAATATACGATGTCTTTATCTATAAATTAATTGTAGTTTTAATAATGAGCACTCGTATGTTATTTGTCGAGTAAACTATATATGTTATCTAGGTAAACTAACTTGAAATCTGTTTAATGTTTTTGTGTTATAATTTATCTTTTATTAAAGTTACTTGTTGTGAGTGAAGGATTACTTCGAATGGTGCAAAGACGGAAGAGAAGGTAGCCAATAAAAAACATTCTTCATCACTATCAGTCATCTAAATCAAATGATCATGATACTTTTTCATTTTAGTTTATCAATTATATATTATAAATATTTATTAAGTTTTAGGTGAAACATTAATTTAATCGTGTGTTCTGGAGTTCACACGATGTGTAAAGAAGGCGCAGATCATTGATCTTCAAAAGTTACGTAAACTGTGGGAATAATAATGGCTGACAAACCATAAATTATGTACATCATTAACCCCCTCACGACAAATATTCCCACAAACATACGATTTATTTATTTATTTATAAAAGGTTCATTCCTCTCATTTCTCCTTACTTTCTTTTCTTCTCTCTTTACTCAATTTCTTATCTACTCAATTTCTTATTAGAAAAAAATAACTTCGCCAACCTTTAATATTTTACAAAGGTATCAGATAAAAGACAATTACTATTTATGTATTCACTTTTGCTTGCTTGTTAGCTCGTTCTTGTTTCACTCGTGTTTTGCTTTGTCCATACTTGCCTGTCCATGCTCTCACACTTTTTCTCGCGTGCCACTCTCGTCCCTCGCTTTTGATCATTCTTGGTTGTTCTTTTCCAGTCCACTTGATTGTTCATCCGCTTGTCCACTCACTCGTTCTCAA